AACTTACTATAATAACTCTCCAAGAGAACATAGTCGTTACGATAGCAAGTCATCACACCAATATCAGAGAAGTAAGCCACAAGGTAAAGAGGTTAAACGTACACTGGTTACATGCTATGTTTGTAATAAACAGGGACATTACGCTTGTGATTGTAGACAGAAACAAACTCTTGCTTTCTTAACTGAGGTAGTAAATAACGTCATAGATAAACGTATCCAGGCTGATGTGAAATCAGAAGAATGTGTAAAGCTACAACCTAAAGATTGTCCTGACACAGGCGCATTCATGATGATAAAACCAGATTCACATTTATATCAGGCAAGTAAGAAAGGATTTTTCACATTAGATTGTGGTCATAAATTAACGGTTCTTAATCAAGTTACAGCTGCATGCAAACATTATGATAGCAGTATGCCAGTAACACAGGGTAAAATTGGTAAGCACACGATACAAGTCCTTCGTGATAGTGGATGCAGTGGTGTAGTTGTTAAAACCAAACATGTAGAACCAAACCAGATGACTGGAGATTTCAAAACCTGCATTCTCATTGATGGTACGGTAAGACGATTTCCCACAGCTTCTATAGTTATAGATACTCCATATTTTGTAGGTCATGTTTCAGCTGTGTGCATGGATAATCCAGTATATGACCTAATACTAGGAAATATTTCAGGGGTTAGAGAACCGACTGACCCAGACTTAAGTTGGGGAAAGACTCAAATTGATGAACCGGACACTAACTGTAAGGTAATCGATTCGAATGAATCAATTCCTCTACAATCCGATCCAATTATCAAAGCTGCCGTTCAGACAAGAACTCAAATCAAACTAAAAGATAAACCATTAGCTAGATTAACCTATTAGTGAAGTCACTGCAGATATGTTGCGCCTTAAGCAAACTGACGATCCAACGCTTAGGAAAGTTAGACAATTGGCTGAAAGTGGTGAGCAGAAAATAAGTAAAAACGGAAGTACCCACAGGTATGTTAAATCCAATGGCATTATCTATAGGGAATTCAATTCTCCAAAGATAGAATTTGGGAATACATTTAAGCAAGTAGTAGTTCCAAAGGATTACAGAGAACATGTCTTAAGGATAGCTCATGAATCTATTCTAGGTGGTCACCAGGGATCCAAAAAACCAGGGACAAGGTAATGAGTAACTTTACATGGCCTGGAATGTTAGCCGACGTGACCAGGTATTGTCAATCATGTGACATATGTCAAAGAACCATTCCTAAAGGTAGGATAACGAAAGTCCCATTAGGTAATTTTCCTTTAATTGATGAACCATTTCAAAGAGTAGCGGTAGATATAGTCGGACCCCTTAAGCCAGCAACTGAAAGAGGCCATCGCTATATCTTAGTACTTGTAGACTATGCTACAAGATATCCAGAAGCAGCACCTATGACTACAATAGGAGCTGAAGCCGTTGCTGAAGAACTACTATCCATGTATTCTAGGTTAGGTTTTCCAAAAGAAGTCTTAACTGATCAAGAATCTCAATTCATTTCAGGTATAATGAAAGAGGTAAATAGATTACTTTCAATTCATAGTATGACTACAACCCCTTATCATGCCATGTGTAATGGTCTTTGTGAAAAGTTCAATGGTACACTGAAGGCTATGCTAAAGAAAATATGCGAAGAAAAACCTAGGGATTGGGACCGATATATCGATCCACTTCTATTTGCATATAGGGAGACCCCTCAAGCTAGTACAGGTTTCTCGCCATTCGAGTTGTTGTATGGACGCACAGTGCGTGGTGCTATGAAAATTCTGAAAGAATTATGGACTGGTCAGTTAGCACGAGAAGAACTTCAAAAATCTAAGCAGAAATACAAGATGTATTATAACAAGAAGGCACGAACTAGAGACATGAAAGTAGGAGATGAAGTCCTCCTTCTTTTACCCACGGATAACAATAAGTTATTGATGCACTGGAAAGGACCGTTTCCTATTAAAGAAAAGGTAAGTTCAATGAATTACAAAATAGATTTTGGCCACAGGACCAAAACTTTTCATGCAAACTTACTGAAGAAATATCATAGAAGAGAGACTACAGCATCGATGATGGACCCAAATAAACGGGGTGTTTATGAAATCGTATGTACTTCAGTTCTTGAAGATGAACCACATCAAGAAGTAGGTAAATATGAACTTCAACCTTTCCATACAGACAAACTTATACATCTTCCTCCTATGGTTCAGAATGAACACATTTCTGACGTTAAAATTGACCCACGGCTTAACAAAACGAACTCATCAGGTAAAGCAAATACTACTGCAGTATAAGGATACTCTTACAGATATCCCAGGTAAGACAACGTTAGGAAAACATGTAATCAAATTGACTGACACTAAACCAATTAAAAGTAAACCCTATCCAATACCCCATGCACTTCGGGAAGACATTCGTAAAGAAGTTCAGAGCATGCTTAGGATGGGAATAATATCTCATAGTAATAGTCCTTATGCATGTCCATTAGTGGCAGTTAAGAAACCCGATGGTTCTTTAAGAGCATGTTGTGACATGAGGAAACCTGTACCTGATCAGGATGAAATATTCTCTCAATTATCTGAAGATCGTTATTTCAGCAAAATTGACCTTAGCAAGGGATACTGGCAGATTCCAATGTCAGAAGAATCTAAACCTATAACAGCTTTCGTCACTCATGATGGTTTGTACGAGTTTAATATGATGCCGTTCGGCCTGGTAAACTCAGGTGCCACATTTAGCAGAGTAATGAGGAAACTTTTAAAAGGTATACCTAACGTACATAACTACATAGATGACATACTCATTCATACTAAAACATGGGAAGATCATCTACAGAAAATTAAGGTAGTATTTGATAGACTAAAAGGTGCTAAATTAACAGCTAGGCCTACTAAATGTTTCATTGGCTATGAAGAAGTTGAATTTTTAGGACACATAATTGGACAAGGTCTAGTACGACCAAAACCTGATAAATTAAAAGCTATTGAGCAAGCAGAAAGACCAATCACAAAAACACAGGTAAGATCTCTTCTCGGTTTAGCAGGATATTACAGAAAGTTTATATCCCAGTTTGCAGACATTGTGAGTATTTAAACAGTAATTGAAAGTATTGCTATGCTTACGGATGTTTAAAGTTTATTATAATATAAATATCAGTAAATGTGAATGTATGGATAATTAAATTATTAGCTTTAAACCTACTGTTGATATATAGGTACAATATGTAACATGTGTATTATGTGAGTATAATTGTATATACATATGTATACAGATATATGTGTGTGTATTTATACACATATAATATATGTATATATATGATGTGTGTTTATATGCATATGTGCTGCATGTGCATATGGGCCTATATAACGTGATTGTTTATAAGACATACTGTTTTATGCATGTTTGCTTTAATACAGTGTCACCTAACTTTCAACCTAATATTTGGGAGCTACTGTACTATTGTATGGAATTTTTCAAGTAGAAACCAATGATGAAGCGTAGAGTATCGTAATCAGTGCGTCAGTTATACCTATCAAGAATGATGGTGGATATTCAACGCATTATCAAGACAGACGTGTTTAAGCGGGAACAGTGATTAAATAGAGACGTAGTATTCGTCATTACTATTTACTCCAATAATGTTATATATTAATTAAACTGGTAGTTATTTGCTATACACGAAGATAAAACACGTTATATCGTCATTGCGGACTTATAAAATCCGCATATGCCTTAAAACTAAAAGAAAATGCATACTTACTGAGTCCAAAAAATCCGCAATGAAAATATAACATGTTATAACCAATATTTCATTAAATTAATTATTGCTAAGTAATGTTATGATTAGAATTAAAAGCATTGGTTGCGAATTTGATATTTAATATTTAATGTTTTCTATGTTTGTATTGTTTGTATTGTGTTGTTTATTGTTTAAAAAGACCTATTATTTTAGAAATAAAGATTTACTTATTTGTTAAATTTAAAAGTTTGTAATTCTTTTTGTTGTGTACATTGTTGGACAGACATTAGACCTTCGATCCAAATTGATCGTCTATGACATTCATATTATATATGAATTTTCGTAGGTGACAAAATACATATGCATTCTGTGAGACATACGTGGAACCAACAACATCGGATACTATAATATACATATATATATGATGGTTTATATATAATTTAACAGTGTTAACGGCTCTCTAGATTTATATATATATACATATATATATAACCACCTAACCTTCGTTCTACACAATCATCATTTATCTCATATATTGTAATATTTGTGGTAAACAATATGTCGGAGAAACAAAAAACACTCTCCGTATGAGAATGACACAACATAGATCAGCTATCAGAACATCTAAGCTTGATCAACCAGTAGC